AGTTCTGAGGAAGGGTCACTGGACCCGAAACGTTAACTTTGATTTTTTCTTCACAGATGCTGCCAGACCCGCTGAACTTTTCCAGCAGCTTCTGTTTTTGTTCATTATTTTTAAGCTAAAAATGTTGGCCAGGTTTATAACCGATTGATCTACAAAATCAGAAACATAGCCAAATAACCATGCTGCACAATTAACAATTACCCATTTACATTTGATAAAGATAACAAATATTGATTCACTGGTATTGTTGTATAGAAAAGGATAGCTTTACCTATAAAAAGATAATGATAAACTTACCACTCCATTCCTGCTCCTAATTCATCCAATTTGAAGTTTGGAAGAGCTGCCTATAGGATGACTGGAGTAGTCTTTTCATATGCAAATAAGAGTCCAATGTAATACATATACCTACATGTAACTAGAAAAGTGCAGCAAAGGTCATCGCTGGGGGGCCTCAGCTATTTACAATTTTTTATGAGTGACTTAGATAGAGCAACAAAGAATAACAGATCTAAGGTTACTGATGATACAAAGCTGAGTAGGAATAAATGCAGAAGCATACTTTTTTATTCATTCACAGGATTTGAGCATCGTTGGGCGAGCCAGCGTTTATTGCACACCACTCGATGCCCTTGAGAAGGTGGTGAGCTGCTTTCTTGAACTGCTGCAGTCTCTATAGTGTAGGGACACCCACAATGCCATTAGGAAGGGAGATTTAGGATTTTGACCCAGTCACACTGAAGGAATGCCAATATATTCCCAAGGCAAGAAGTCAGTGGCTTGCAAGGGAACCTGCAGGTCGTGGTGTTCTCATGTACCTGCTGCCCTTGCCCTTCCAGATCAAAGTGATTGTGGGTTTGGAAGGTGCTGTCTGAGGAACCTTGATGAATTTCTGCAGCACATCCTGTGGATAGTACACACTGGTACTACTGAGCATCAGGAGGGGTGGGAGTGAGTGTTTATGAATGTGATGTCAGTCAAGCAGCTGCTTTGTCCTGGATGGTGTCAAACTTTTTGAATGTCATTGGAGTTGTACCCATCCAGGCAAGTGGGGACCATTCTATACACTCCTGACTTGAGCCTTGTAGATGGTGTTCAGGCTTTGGGGAGACAGGAAGTGAACTATTTGCTGTAAAATTCCTCTTTTCTCATCTGTAGCCGCAGTATTTATATGGCTAGTTCAGACCAGTTTTTGGTCAATGATATCGTCCAGGATGTTTATAACAGAGAATTCAGTGAATTTTGTGACATCAAATGTCAAAGTGTGATGGTTAAA